GACACATGCGTGCCCGTCTCAAAGGCCCGGGCTCAAGTGTGCCAAGGCAGCCTGGTGCCAGCGCGGCCAGGTGGCGCTCCAAGCGCTGCTGCCCCAGGCAGGGCCAGGATCGTGGACTCATTGGCCTTGTTGCCCCTTGACCCCCTCCCCCCCAGCCTGATGGACCCCACTGTCCATCAGCCAGAGCAGCTGGGAGGGAACCAGGCAGAGGGCGGCTATCAACTCCCTCCCCGCCCGCCAGTCCTGGCCCAGGCAGCAGAGGGACCCGCCCAGGTCTCCCCCACCAAGCCCAGCCCTCCGTACGGACCCCCCAACGGGGGCCGAGAACCTGTGGCCGACCAGAGCCCCCAGCCCCCTTAGTCTCACACACACACACACACACACACACACACACACACACACGGAAATCCATGATCCCCGGGGGAGGAGCAAGGCCAAGGGAAGAGGAGGGTCTGGGTTGCAGCAGTGCCACAAGCGAGGGAGGGAGGGAGGGAGTTTGCCCCTTAAGCGCCCCCCCCCGCCCCCCTCGCAGCCCCCGCCTCCTCCAGCTCTCTGCACCGGGATAAGACAGGAAGAGGAAGTAAAAGTGCAATCCTTGCATTGAGTCGTCCTTAAGGTTGCCTTTACCCCCAAGCCCGTGATCCCGGCTTCCTTCCACTGGCCTCCCCAGCTCCACCCAGCCCCCCCTCCCCAGAATAAGGCCAGCTGCAGCACAGCTGACAGGAGCTGTTCTTGCAGCCTGACATAAATAAGTGTTTCGCAGACCAAAACCCAGGATAATTTAAATAGCTGTCCCTCCCCCCCCCCCCCCCCACCCCCTGGTGGCCCCAGGGCCCACCAGCATCTTGCCAATCCGCGTCGCTCCCCGTCCACCCTGAAAGCCCCCCCTCGTCTTCCAAGGCGACCTGCATCTTGCTGGGCGAGCAGCAGCCCCGGGCCCCCCCCAGGGGCCGAGAGCCAGGAGGGGCGGCTGCTGCAGGCAGCCACAGCTGCAGGGGGCAGGACCAGGGCTGGTTGCTGGGCGCTGGGCAGTCCCCGGGGGCGGGGGCGGTGCCAGGCACCTGCTGACATCACTGCTCCCCCAGGGGCCTTCGGAGCCTGGCTAAGAGAGCGCAGGAGCAATACTGCCAATTGACCTGGGGGGGGGGTGGCATATTAGAAAGCGGCCCCAAGCTGCCTAGCACAGCCCCCCCAACCCGGGACTTCCCAAAGATCCGTTTCAACATGCGGGGAAGGGGGGCCCGGGGTGATCCCCCCAATTGTGTCCCCTCCAAGACACCTGGAACTGCTTGGCACAGGCTTGTGGCAGCCTCCGCCTGTCCCTCAGCCTTTGGGTGCCCCTCCAGCAAGCCACCCCTCCCACCCCCAGTGACCTACCGGCCTCGTCCGGGGAGCTGCCGGTCGGACTGCCCTGGCTGAGCGTGGCCCAGCTGGAATCTTCGTCGCTGGCAGTGCTGTTGCGGGTGGCAAAGAGGAGGCTGGCGCTGCGGCCTTGCTCCCCCCGAGGCAATGCCCGCTCCGAGCTCTGCTCCGACTCAGTCACAGGCTCACTCCGGACCGGGGTGGAGCCTTCCTCCTCCTCCTCCTCCTCCTCCTCTTCCTCCTCTTCCTCCTCCTCCTCCTCTTCGTCTTCTTCCTCCTCCTCCTCGGCCTCTGGGTCCTCTGCTCGGCCCTCCTGCCTCGTCAGCGGGACCAGCAGCCTGCTCAACTCCTTGCTGGGAAGGCTCAGTTCGTTGCGGTTCTGGTCCCGGCCACGCTCGGCCGCCTGTCGCAGCTGGTTCTGTCCCTCCTTCATCCACTTGCTGTTGGAGGGCTCCTCCGTGGAGGGGGGCAGCCCCAAGATGCTCTGCAGCTCCCCGCAGCTGTAGGCGCACCGCCCCTTGTGCGGCAGGACCGGCCCCCCTGGCGGGGCCCCCAAGGCCAGGCTCAGGCCCAGGCAGCCGTTGTCGTTGGCCAGACTGTTCCGCTTCCTCAGCGAGCTGGACATGGTGCTGGGCACTGGGGAAGACTGGTGGCAGGGAGAGGAAGCGGCCGGTCACAACTCTGGGGGAAGAACCCCAGTGCGCCCCGCCCCCCCTGCCCGTCTCCTCTGCACTCAGCACCCTCCTTGGGGGGAAGCGGTGCCCCGAGGGGGCCTGCAGGGCCCTGGTTAGGCTTGGCCTCGATTGGTAAGCCTGGCCTGCTGAACTGGCCTGCTCTTCACAGCCCCCCCGCCCCCATCCCTGCCCCCCAGTCAAGACCGGACTCCTGCAAGGCCTCCCTGGGTGCTTACCGATCCTGGGCCGGAGGGAGAGGTCCACATCTACATGCCTCGGGGAACCCAGGCAGGGCAGTCCAAAGAAGGCCAGGCAACATTCAGCTTCTGGGGGCAACAGGGGGAGGCAGGAGGTCAGTCCACCCTGGCAGCCCCAGGGCAGGGGACTGGCTGGAGGGGCTCCGCTGGCCTGGTCTCCAGAGTCTCCTCTGGGCAGTCAGACGGGGGCTGGGGGCTGGTTTGTTCCCCTCCCCCGGCATTTGGAGAGAAGCTGTTTGGGAGCCATCAGTGGGCGGTGCTCCCTAGACGGACCCAATCTGATTCCAGGCCTCCCACATCCCCCCCCCCTAAGGTCCACCACCCCCCCCCCCTCCCACTTGCTGGGTGAGGATGACACCCGGTTTGCCTCTTGCCGAGCGGGGTGGCTTTCCAGCAGAACCAGAAGGCCGCTCTGGTTCTCTTGCCCGTCTCCCCTTCAGCCGGGACTGGGGGGGCTCCCTGGGCCGATCGGCTCCCCCTGGTGAGCAGGTCAGGTCAGTGGCCGTGGCGGCATCCTACCAACGGCCTGCGGGCCCATCATCCCAGACCTGGCCTGCGCCCAGGGGCCAAGCCGAACCTTGGGGGTGCCAGGAGATGCTGCCAGGGACCCCCCAGCCTGGCTTCCTTTCCAACCCAGAGGCAGAGTGGAGCCTTTGAGACAGACCCCCTTGCCAGTCTCTGCCCCATGGGGGCCTGGGACACTTTGCCACGGCTGACTTGCGGTGGGAGGAGACTTAAAAGAAAGTCAAAGAAAGGGTGGAATAGAATCCTGAAAAAAACGATATCAAGGATGGAAAAATGAAATGTGAATGGCAAAAAATAAAATATTTGTTTAAATTTATTTTCAATAATTATATTGTTCAATTGTCCCCTGGCCCCATGGATGGAGCTGATCCCCTTGGATTATTTGGGCTCCCTTGCAACCTTGTCTCGATGTGCCAACCGGAGCCACCCTCAACCCCACGCCGCCCCCCCCCGGCCCTGGGACCAGCCAGTGGGGCTGCCACTTCCCCGAACCCCTGGGAGCGCCTGCAGCCCGGAGGGACGGCGCCTTTGCGCCCTCGGGCCCGGGGCCCCCCTGGTCAGGCCTGGGGCGTCCCACCTCGCCGGGCCCCCCAGGCCTCCCGTCCTCACCCTGCGTGCCGGCCTTGAAGGGGCACCCGAAGCCCCCAGCCCTCCGCCCGCCCCGGGACAGCGTCGCCAAGAGCGCAGCCGCCTTCCTAGCCCGAGCCGGCCGCGAGCATCGCGTCCCCTCGGCCAGGCCCCCTCCGCGGCGGAGGGCCGGGGGGCCGGGCGGTTCCGAGGAGACTGCGGCCGCGGCTCGCCTGCTCCGGCGGGGAGGACGTTGCCGGCGCTCGGGCCTCAGTCCCGGCGGGCCCGGCTCGGCTTCGGCTCCGAAGGCTCCGCCGCTCCCGCCTCCCGGCCCGCCCGCGCTGGGTACCTGCAGCTGCAGCGACGCTTTCGGGAGGATGGAGATGGCGGCGGGAGGGGCGGCGGGGGAGGCGTCGTTTCCGCTTCCGAGACCGAGCCGCCCCTCCCGGGACGGGCGAGGGGCGGCTGGCCCGGCGGCGGAGCGGCAGCTGTACCCGGGGCGCCGGATGCGGCCCCGGGCAGGGAGGCGTCGCTGTCCTCAGCACCTTCCGCGGGATCCGCCGCCGCCGCCGCCGCCGCCGCCTGGGGCCGGGACTCCTGCCGCGCCCCGCGTCCGTCCCGGGGGCGGCGGGAGGGCGGGGGGCCGGGCGCCGAGCAAGAAGCCGGCCGGGGCGGGGGCTGCGGAGCAGCAGCAGCAGCAGCAGCAGCAGCAGCAGCCGGGCGGGCGGGCGAAGGCGAAAGCGAGTGTGCAAGCCGGGCCGGGCGCTGAGGCCGGCCGAAGCCGGTCTCTGGCCGGAGTGCGCGCCTGCTGTGGCCCGGAGGCCGAGGCGTTGAAGGGCCGCCCGCTTTGTTTGCCTGCATAAGCAAAGCCCAAGCTGCCCGTCGCCGCGAGCGCCCCGCCTCCGGTTCTCGGCGAGGCAGGCAGGTCTGCCCTTCAGCCCCGCAGAGCCCCGGGCGGCTGGGCGCTGCTTTGGCGGCGGGGAGGGGAGCGGCGCCCTGGATGGCAAACTCGGGAAAGCAGCTCTGGGGGAGCGCGAGGGAAGGAGGTGCTGGTCACGGGAGCAGCGGAGGGGAGCGTTCAGAATGACAAGAGTTGGAAGGGACCATGTAGGCCATCTAGTCCACCCCCGCTGCCCAAGCAGGAGACCCTGTGCCATTTGTGATAGGGGTCTCTTCTTGAAAGCCTCCAGGGATGGAGCACCAACTTCTGGTGGCAAGCTGTTCCAATGGTTTATTGTTTTCAAGGTCAGAACATTTCTCCTTCTTGCTAGGTTGAATCTCCCCTTGATCAGTTTCCATCCATTGTCTGGCCTTCCGGTGCTTTGAAAGATCGGTTGTCCTCCTCCCCTCTGTGAGAGCCCCTCAAATATTGGAATCCTGTTGTCATGTCACTCTATAAGAATACCATTTGATATAAATAAACTAAGTAAAACTGCAGGATAAAAAGATTGTTTTAAATGTGCTATGGATAATGGGTATAGCAAGAGAAATGCAAAATATATTGTATCTAATAAACTCCTATAATGCAAAGGTATTTGGTGTAAATATATAAACTGTGCCCAAATATGTATTTCATAATGAATAGAAATGCCTCAAATATTAGTTTTTAGAATTTATTTGGCACCAAAATGTATTGCCTATCGTCCTGCAGCAAAGAAAGCTGTCGTAGTAGTACATAGCTGGCCTCCAGCATTAAATTCAGAACGTTTTAATGAGCCCCATGCTAAACTCTTCCTTGCTGGCCCAGTCTTTTCCTTTTCTCTGGAGGCAGAGACTGACCTCTGCAGAAGAGTTCTGAGACCATGGAAATCCTCCTGTTAGGCTGGCCGCTAGACATACCCAGGACCTTCAATCGTTGGTTGTATGTTTTAGCCTCCAAACCCTTCATCGCCTTGGTTGCTCTTCTCTGCACACTTTCTAGGACCTTTTTTCTGTCGTTTGGACCAGAATGCCAAGTGTGACCTCACCAGTACAGGAACAAAGCAGCACTGTTACTTCACATGAATTTGATGCTGACAGCCCCCACCCCACCCCCACCCCCCCACCCGGTTGATGCAGCCCAGGACTGGGTTGGCTTTGAGGCTGCTGCAGCACACGGCTGGCTCGTACTTAAGTGGCGGTGTGATAGGACTCCTTGATCTCTCGCGCGGTTACTGCTGTTGAGCCAGGCCCTGCATGTCCTGGGCCTGAGCTTTGCTTTGCTTGCTTTTTGCCCAAGTGGCAGGACCAGTCGCTTTTCCCACAACCGAGCTGCATCTTGCTGGTTAGGGCCCAATGCTCGGGTCTGTCAAGAGCCTTGTGAATCTTGAGTCTATGCTTTGCATTTTTTAAAATTTAATTTAGGCATGTTTTATTTAGCCTACTGACAATTTTCAGAGTAGTTGAGTATGATTGTTTCATACTTCCAGTGTTAACAAACCCCAATTCTAACCCTGGGGTGTAAACTATCTGGTCTTAGTGATTGGAACTCATCTAAAGGGCAAAGGTGTTTTCGTACTAATGTTTTACCTATTTTGACCTGCCTTCCGGTTTTGTCTCCAACAATACCGTCTTTGGTAGGTTGGGCTATTTTTTTCCCTTTGTGTAAAAACAGGTGCAAAGAAGGAATTGAAGCAGTTCTGCTGTCTCCCTGCTGCCTGCCCCCATCTTGCCATCTGCCTCCGTTAGCAGACCAACCATTTCCTTTATTTTCTTTTTATTCTTTACATGTTGAAAGAAACTGTTATTTTGGACATTTGTTGCAAGTTTTAGTTCATTCTGTGTCTTACCTTTCCTGAAACCCTCCTTGCAGATCCAGACTATTTGCTGATATTTTGTTCTCACCTCATTCCATTTTGTACACTAGTCCTTTTTATCCCTCCTCTTGTCAGAGCGCTCTTTACGCAACCATGCTGGCCTTGTCTGGTGTCTTTTGCTTTTTCCTTTCCCTATTTCTTCTTGGACCTCCGTTTCTCATTTTTCAGAGTTTCTCAAGCATCTTGAGTTGTTTCTCCCTCGATTGACTCCTTCTTCTTCCCTCCCCACTTAGCTTGTTGAAGTCAGCTCCCTTAACAACTGAAGCCTGACACGGTTCAGTGACCTTTGCCAGTTTATGGTGATTCTGGTATGATGGGAGGGTCACTCTTCCCCAAGGAAGCCTTGTAACTCCCACCCCTTCTGTCATTTCATCTCCGTTAGTGAGAATTGAGTGTAGCCGACCCTCTCCGGTTCCGTTCTCTACCTTTTGGGTAACGAGAGCTGCCAGCCAGGCGAGCCAGGAGACGCTGTGATCTCCCACTCGCTGCTGGGTTTGTTTCCCGGCTGATGTCCGGGCAAAGCCTCCCATTGCTGCAGTGGCACCTTTCCTGCAGCTCCTGACTTAACTCTATATAGCAAAAGGTCCGCCTGTTCTGTGCGCCTGGTTGGGTGGCTCGGGCTCCGTACACCTATAGCAAAGCCATTTCTTTTTCCTCTAATATCCATCCCGATGCATTCAAGGCTTCAGGTCGCCCCCCCTCCCCCTCCCCCCCCAGGATTGAGAAAGCACGTTATGTTCCTGGTGGCCCTAGGGCAAGGGGTCCTCGTTCCTGCAGGCAATGAGGGTCCCTGGTTTGCGCCACTCTAGCTGCCGCTGCACACAATGGGCAGCAGGCCCAGCCAGGGTCCCCAGAGGCCTCCTGCACAAGGACAGGAGGCTCCACTTGGGCCACATGCCGATCAAGGAGCGCTCCTGGTGAAGGGGAGGGGGCTGCCTGCAGCAGCTAGTATGGAGCACACAACGAAATGTCTGGAAATGCCCCCCTTGGGCTTAAAATGGGCATTTGGCAGGAGAGAAGAAATGTGGGCAACAGAGAAAGGCAGGAGTTTGGTTGCTGAGGAAATATTGCAAATGATAAAACAGTAGAATTATTAGCACTGGTCCTGTTGGATATACTTAGAATAAAACCATGTTCGAATTGAACATCCTTGGAAAGCCCTGAGTTGATCCTTCGTTTAGTCCTGTGAGGGAAAGCAGAAGCGAAGCAGCAGGGGACCGGGGTCCTGCCTCAGATGCCAGGCTGTGGCCCAGGCAG